CTATATGTTAAATACTCGAACTAGCCCTAATACTTCAATACCTATTACTAACCAAACAATAACCACTCTGCGCGTATGATCAATGCAAATCTGAACATGTATATCTAAACTATAGGTTCCGGTATACCTGAAATGAAGACCATACTGCGTGGCGTTCAATTGAAAGAGTATCTCACATTTAAGACATTAGTGGCCAAGGTAATTGGTTTAACGGCAACTCTGGGCAGCGGTATGCCATTAGGAAAGGAAGTAAGTATAAAAATTGATGTCACCCATTGCTGCATGCAAATGTTTGGAAAATCTACAAATGGATTCATTTGTTTCCCCTTTGTATCCCCCTTCTCTATCTCTATCTCTATCCCCCAGGGCCCTTTCGTACATATAGCAAGTATTGTAGCACAATTATTAAGTAAACTTGTCACATCATTCCAAGGCATCTATGAGAATGAGTCGAGAAACTCTGAAATGCTGGCGGCTGCATGTGCCGTCGGTGTGGGTGCATGCTTTGCGGCACCCGTTGGCGGTAAGTACCAAAAGAAGATGCCACCAAGCCCCTTCTCTCTCTCTCTCTATTGAAAGTACCAACTAATACAGCCGTCTCCTTTAGGTGTCCTTTTTAGCATTGAGGTTACCACAACGTACTTTGCAGTGCGCAATTATTGGCGTGGCTTCTTTGCTGCCGTGTGTGGTGCCACAGTTTTCCGACTGCTGGCGGTGTGGTTCCAAAATGCCGACACTGTGCGGGCACTGTTCTTGACCAACTTCACCACCGAATTCCCCTTCGATCCCCAGGAGTTGTTTGTCTTTGCCTTGATTGGGTAAGGGCCACACAGATTTGCTGATTGATGATTGTTGCTGACTGATTCTTCCACAGTCTTGTGTGTGGCTTGGGTGGCGCATCCTACGTCTGGGTCCATCGTCGCTATGTCCTCTTTATGCGCTCAAATAAGCGCATGAACAAGTTCCTACAGAAAAAGTACGTACAATACGAAAATTGTGTATCGTAAAGAGATTTCTAAATGCATCTCCCTGCTGTGTTAGTCGGTTCCTGTATCCTGGATTCCTGGCACTGCTGGTTTCCAGCATATCGTTTCCACTGGGCACCGGCCAGTTTCTGGGTGGAGAGCTCAGCACCCATGAGCAGGTCACTCAACTGTTCAGCAATTTCACTTGGTCCCGCGATGATCTGACTGTGGAACAGGCCGCAGTTGTTACCCACTGGATGACCAGCTACACCAGTGTGTTTGGCAATCTCGTAATTTATACTCTTTTCACGGTAGGTACTCCTAAAATAAAAGAGTCTTCTGCATAGTAAAACTGAACTCCCTTTTTATCCAGTTTATCTTCTCAATTGTGGCCTCCACCATACCGGTTCCGTCGGGCATGTTTATTCCGGTTTTCAAGATCGGAGCGGGCTTTGGTCGTCTGGTGGGAGAGTTTATGGCGGTGACATTTCCCCACGGAGTACGCTACGGCGGACGTCTGTCCCCAATTATGCCCGGGGGATATGCCGTTGTGGGGGCCGCTGCCTTCTCTGGCTCCGTGACCCATACGGTATCCGTGGCGGTGATTATATTCGAGATGACTGGACAGATTACCCATGTGGTGCCTGTGATGATTGCCGTACTGGTGGCCAACGCAGTGGCAGCACTGCTTCAACCCTCCATATACGACAGTATTATATTGATCAAGAAGCTTCCGTACCTTCCCGATCTTCTGCCCTCGAGCTCCGGCATGTACAGCATATTTGTGGAGGACTTTATGGTGCGGGACGTGAAATATATCTGGCACGGCATCTCCTACCAGAAGCTCAAAGAAGTCCTCAAGACCAACAAGACACTGAGGTCGCTGCCGTTGGTCGACAGTCCCGACAATATGATCCTGCTGGGGTCCGTGCAACGCTACGAACTAATCAAAATGATTGAGAAGCATATTGGCAGAGAGAAGCGCATGGAAGTGGCACAAAAGTGGCAAAAGGAGGCCGAGGAGCGTGCCCTGGAGGAGGAAAAGAAGAAGCAAGAGGTTGAGCTTCGAATGCGCCGTCCCTCGCGATTTGAAGTTCTCCCAGCTCCGGATATCCTAAGCTTGCGACAGATTGCCAACGATGAAATGCTTCCGCCCAAGAAACGTGCCGAAACCATGCACAGTTCGCTCACTCCCAGGAAATCCATCCTTAAGAAGACAAACTCCTTCAATCTCAAGACCTATGCCCCCGCTGCCCTGCACCACAGTCCGAGTATCACGCCGTACACCACGATAACCGGCAACTCCGAGTTCCGAATCCGGTCTGCATTCGAGGCCATCTTCAAGAAGTCCACCACGCTCCAAGATGTCCAGCCTGATGCCGAAACGGGGTCTCTCTCGCTCTCCCCGGCTGCCAGCAACAATGAGGTCGAAGCACAGCAGCGAACTGCGACGCCCAGCACACCTGGTGTATCCAAAAAGGTTCAGCTGGTGAGTGTCCTTCTCTTTTATTAGAACAAATACATGCTGGGGGTTTCATGGGATCTCAACATATCATTAAGGAATGAGCTTTTCTTACAAGCAAGCACAAAATAATTGGAATTTCGTAACAGATAAAATTATGCTGGTAAGTAGTTGTCAATAAAACACTTACTAAAACATGCCTTTAGCATTTGTTCATAAAATGTCTGTAACCTAATTTAATATCTGCAAGCAAGTAAATCCCATCTCTACGGATATCTCAACGGTACAAACTGTAAACAATATGGTATGGCACACAACAAACTAATAATTACAAATTGCAATCCCTCCCCACTACTCCTCACTGATTCGATTACATTTTATTTTATCCTTTAATAAGATCTTACAAAATCCTAGCCAATCAATATGTATGTATGGTATATATTAATCCTTGCCACATGTTCTGCTTTTCTGAAAGCCGGCTGAGAAGGACACCAATGAAATGTTAGTCGAAAATGGGCATAATGGGGATACACTTAACTCGAGTCGAGTTCTTTGCAAAGAAGATCAGGGTGATCAGGGCAAAATTAAACACCATTCAAATAAAGTTGCGGATTTGAATGCCAGAATGCCGTTTATAGTGCGACTCTCTTCAGAGAAGGATATGCAGAATGTGAATAACCAAGAAACCAAGAAAAAGGCAACAAAGATTCGATTTTATGATGAAAATACAAATCAATTTAATGATACCGAAACGATAAGACCTAACACAGGGGCTGAGGTTAGTGGAAAGTTTTTCCTATAAAGTCTGTTACTATGTTCCCATAACTAACTCACAATTAAAACAACTTAAAATTTCTTATCTGTTTTCTCTCATTGTAATAATCATATAAAATATATACAAAAATAAAAGACAAACAAGACCACTCAAAAGACGAAGTCCGTTCAATTGGTATGTGATTTAAGAAACCAAAGAAAATATTCAGTCCACTGGCAAATACATTGCAATTATGAATACGCTTTACATTTCAGCCAAGAGAGCGCGTTATTGACATGTCCCCCGAGGATCAGAAGAAATGGGAGCTCGAGGAAATGCTGAAGGCCATCGATTTGCAGAAGGCAAACGTGCACATAGATCCATCACCGTTTCAACTTGTAGAACGCACCTCAATACTTAAGGTTCATTCATTATTCTCGATGGTGGGCATTAATCACGCATATGTCACAAAGATCGGAAGACTTGTGGGTGTTGTGGGACTTAAAGAGGTACATACACATACTCGTACATATGCTTCACGCATAACTATTTCTGTTATTTAATACTTGTATTTTCTTGTACTTCGAAGCTGCGAAAGGCCATTGAAGACATCAATAGCAATAGTTTTGTTGTTTCCACACGCGACGAAGAAGGAACCGAAGCTGAGACCAAGACTGCAGTGGAGAAGCCATTGCTGCCGTTGAATGCCAGTGACAAGGCTGTGGATATGACAGTAACGTCAATGGACTCGGCCTTATCGAATTCTGAAAACTGTTCCGACATTGAAATGGAACACATAAAGCATATGGAACTAAAGCGGCCATCGGTGACTCTCACACATGAGACATCTGCATCGAAGGACACAAATGCCACTGAAAATAGCAATCATCAAGCTTGAATACGTTTAAAGAGCTCTAAAAAATATGCAATACGTTTGCAAAGATCAGTTAATGTCTATAATAAGTGCAGTCATCGAAAGTTATTATGTATTTATATCTCGCTAGTTCATAAAATGACAAAGATATCGTGATTTACGTTTAAGTCGAAATGGAATGGAGAGAAAGTACTCGTAGTCGCCTTTGTGTGTGTTTATTTCAAAAGAAAATGGCCAAGAGTTTTCATTCAATGTGCCCTTCTGGCGTTCCTATTTGTTTAAACATTCAAACCAAGCCAAACCAACCCCAAGCACATACTATCAGCAAACAAACAAAATAAATTCAATTTAAATTTACAAAGTGCCACTGAGAGAACATGAGGAACTTAAGTACTCGATGCAATCAAGTTTTGGAACGCACTTGGACCAAGCAATGTCAGGGAAGATACTCGTATGACATTAAAGTAAAATATGGCAATCGTTTGGTCAAAACGGGCGATCCATATGTAATTCATTACATGCCACCTGACAAATATCTCATAACCATGGGCAAAAGTCAACTGGACAAGGCCGAGACTGTGGTGTTGTCGCCAAAAGGATTCCTTGATGAGAACAACAAAATAATTGAGAAACTGAAGTATTTGAGCTGCGTGCCATATCGGTTGCGATTCACAGAGGATCTTGTTGCTCACTGTAAGGGTCCTAGTTTCCGTGGCTATGCTCACTTTTCGGTCCTGAATTATGCAGTTTATGATTTTCACCGCCAACAACCGTGGGAGAATAGTATGTCATTTGATGATTTTGAAAATTCCACTTACTTTTCGAACAGCTCTGCCAATTCCCTGAGCGGACTGCAATGGTGGCCTTTGCTTTTAATAGGTTGCATGCTGTTGGTAAAGATATACAGAAGCTTGAACAAATAAAACAACATTTCTTGGCGGCTATTCTAGTGATGAGCCCGCAGGCAAGCAATAAGTAGTTATCGAAAATAAAAATACCGACTTGGTGAGTTGGTATTTTCCACCAGCTGATTCAACCAGTACTGGAAAACATTAAATTATTGTGTATTGCTTGCATCTATCTGTCCTTAATTTATTAATTTACTAAAAGTTAATAATAATTCAACTGGATGCGCTGCGGTGATTTGCAGCAGATTCAGCAGCCTCCAGCACGTGCGTTAACAACTCTGCGTTTTGTTTTTTATCTCTTGCATCTGCACCTGCACCATACCATATAGCATGTAGCACTTCTTTTGCGTGGCGGGGTGTGGTTAAAAGAAGTGGAATATCAAACCAGTGAAGACTCTGTCTGAAAAATGCCTTAGGTCGACGACAATAACAATTTGCTCAGTCGATGTTGGCTATAATTTATGCCAAAACTGAGAAGAGAGCTACGTGCTTCGTTTATTGAATTTTAATGTTGATTTGGTGATATGATGCAAAATTGAAGTCGGCGCTCGCTCTATGAGTATTGTGTATGTGTGTGCCCCAAGCATCTGATTATGTGAAAACAACATACAACATTTGCTTTTACTTGGTTTAATGATGCACTCCATAGGTTCGATCAACTACGTTAAAGAGGAATAAATAGCAGGTGGGTTAGTGTGGACCGGCAATGTGCTTTTTAAGATGTCCCGGCTTGCTGATTACTTTGTAATTGTTGGCTACGACAGCGATAAAGAGAGTAAGTTAAGTCAACTGCATTGCATTGTAGTAGAAATGTACTATAAAATTTACTACATTTTTTCATTGCAGAGACTGCCAGCAATGTGTGTGGGCAGCCAATATGCGGAAAAATTGTTCAACGCTTTCCTGAGAAAGATTGGCCCGACACGCCGTTTATCGACGGAATTGAATGGGTGCGTCTTTCCTTCTTTCGTTTCTCATACACACAAATAGTGATACATACTGTTCCGTTTGCATACATTTTATCTGTTTGCAACAGTTCTGCCAGCCCCTGGGATGGAATTTATCGTATGAAAAACAAGAGCCCAAATTCTTCATTTCTGTTCTCACGGACATCGATGCCAATAAGCATTACTGTGCGTGCCTGAGCTTTCACGAGACGCTGGCCATCACACAGACGAGAAGCGTGGACGATGAGGACGAGACCATAGGAGGTAGCAGCAGGCTGCTTGGTGCGGTAGTCCCGCTGGAATCTGGTATCGCCGAAGCGACATCTCAAAATACACACCACAGCGTCATGTATGCCCCAAAGTGTTTGGTGCTGATATCACGCCTGGACTGTGCCGAGACCTTTAAGGTAAGAAAAAGGCTTGAAGTCTGGTAAGCCTGCCTCTAACTTGAACCTATTTTCGGTTGCAGAACTGCCTGGGGACGATGTACACGGTGTACATCGAGAACTTGTCATATGCCATGGAGACACTGATAGGAAACATCCTTGGCTGCATTCAAGTGCCCCCCGCGGGAGGGCCCCAGGTCAGGTTTTCAATTGGAGCAGGGGACAAGCAATCGCTTCAGCCACCGCAAAGTTCCTCGCTGCCCACAACCGGCAGTGGTGTGCATTTCCTTTTTAAGCAACTGGGAATTAAGAATGTCCTCATACTCCTCTGCGCTGTGATGACGGAAAACAAAATCCTTTTCCTCTCAAAATGCTACTGGCACTTGACGGAGAGCTGCAAGGCTTTGGTGGCTCTGATGTATCCGTTTCGATATACGCATGTCTACATACCCATACTGCCGGCACCTCTCACCGAAGTACTGTCCACTCCCACGCCCTTCATTATGGGAATACACAGCTCGCTGCAAACTGAAATTACGGATCTCCTGGATGTCATTGTCGTAGATTTGGATGGCGGTCTCGTCACCATTCCGGAGGCACTTACACCCCCGGTCCCCATTCTGCCATCACCTCTGTGGGAGCAGACGCAGAATCTGCTCAGTATGATACTCTTCCCGAACCTTGCGCAGGCAGATTTCGCGTTTCCCACCCAAGAGCGCCCGGCTGCGCTGGCCAAGACAGATGCCCAGATTGACAAGGAACTTCGTGCCATTTTTATGCGACTCTTTGCCCAGCTGCTGCAGGGCTATCGCTCTTGCCTGACCATAATTCGGATCCATCCGAAGACGGTCATCACCTTCCACAAGGCTGGCTTTCTCGGCGCCCGCGATCTGATAGAGAGCGAGTTTTTGTTTCGCGTCTTGGATAGCATGTTTTTCACTACGTTCGTCAATGAGCGAGGACCTCCTTGGCGTGCCTCGGATGCATGGGATGAACTCTACAGCTCTATGAACGAGCTACTTAAACTGGAAGCTCAGAATCGAAATCTCGTGAGTAGAGGGCCCCAATGCTAAGAGCATACTAAATCCACCCTCAACTAAATTTGTGTTGCAGATAATACCACATATCCAGGAACTGGGACGCACTCTCTTCGATAATGAAAGCTCCTTTGCGCATAGCAATTATGCCCAGAAGGTTTTGCGCCCACCGGAGGGAGCCTTTCAGCGCATACATCAGCCCTCTTTTCCGCGCATAAGCGTGGAAAAGGTAGAGCTGATTATTCAGGAAGGCATTCGAAAGAATGGCGGGGCACCGCGCTTCCACGTGACGCGAAATCAACATCGGATCATTCCCATGGGACCAAGGCTTCCCGAGGCTTTGGATGTGCGTCCAAATGTGCAAAACTCGGCTCGCCGACTTGAGGTGCTGCGCACGTGTGTGTCTTATATCTTTGAGAATCGGATTGCAGATGCACGAAAACTGTTGCCCGCCGTTATGCGCACGCTCAAGCATCGAGACGCTAGGTTGATCCTCTGTAGGGAGCTCTTTGGATACGTGCATGGGAACAAAGCGATCCTGGACCATCAGCAGTTTGAGCTAGTGCTGAGATTCATGAACAAGGCGTTGCAAAATTCATCTGGCGTGGATGAGTATACCGTGGCAGCGGCTCTGCTGCCAATGTCTACGATTTTCTGTAGAAAACTTTCCACGGGAGTGGTTCAGTTTGCGTATACCGAGATACAGGATCATGGAATATGGAAGAATCTTCAGTTCTGGGAATCTACATTCTACCAGGATGTACAGGGCCAAATTAAGGCACTGTATCTGCTGCAGCGTCGCCAGAACGAACACCACAAGGAGGCAAACTGTGTACTGGACGAGGTGCCACTGGAGGAGCCCACAGCGCTAGAGATAACAGCAGAACAACTGCGGAAGAGCCCCACTATCGAGGAGGAAAAAAAGGCCGAACTGGCCAAGTCCGAGGAGTCCACTTTGTACAGCCAGGCAATACATTTTGCCAACCGAATGGTCTCACTTCTGATACCACTCGACGTCAATGTGGATGCAGCCAGCAAGCCGAAGCCAGCCTTTCGTTTGGAGGAAAATCAGAGTGTTTCCAACAGGTGGGTGTCCATAAATGTATCCGCTATTTTATCTATCTTAATAATATTCGACTGTTTTTGGCAGTATTTTGGGCTCCCATAGTCTGAGCGAACATTCCGACGAAGGCTTCGAGGAGAACGATGCCCTGGAAATAGGTGTCACGGTTGGGAAAACAATTTCACGCTTTATTGACTGCGTCTGCACAGAGGGTGGTGTCACATCAGAGCACATACGCAACCTGCACGACATGGTGCCGGGGGTGGTGCACATGCATATAGAGTCCCTAGAGCCGGTTTATTTGGAGGCCAAACGACATCCGCATGTCCAGAAGCCCAAGATTCAAACACCCTGCCTGTTGCCAGGCGAGGAGCTGGTGACAGACCATTTGCGCTGCTTTCTGATACCAGATGGACGCGAGGATGATACGCAATGCCTCATACCTGCCGAAGGAGCTCTGTTCCTCACCAACTATCGTGTGGTTTTCAAAGGTTCGCCCTGCGATCCCCTCTTCTGCGAACAGACCATCGTTCGCTCCTTTCCCATTTCCTCTCTGCTGAAGGAGAAAAAGATATCAGTGCTGTACTTGGCCCACCTTGATCAGACGTTGCCGGAGGGCCTGCAGCTTCGCTCTAGTACCTTTCAGCTCCTGAAGGTAGCTTTCGATACGGAAGTGACGCCAGAGCAGATTGAGAATTTTCGAAAAATATTAAGCAAGTCTCGGCATCCATTCGACGAATTCGAGTACTTTGCCTTTCAGTCGTATGGCACTATGCTGCAAGGTGTCGCCCCACTGAAAACAAAGGAGAAATACTCCACGCTTAAGGGATTCGCTAAGAAAACTCTGCTGCGCACGGCCAAAAAGGCTGGATTCAAGCAGAAGCAGCAGACCAAGCGGAAGCTGGTGACAGACTACGAGCTGGCCGGTGGTACAGATGCCGTGGAAACCCAATCGATTGACGATGAGCTGGAGGATGGGGATGAATTCGAGTCCCAGAATAATGCATTGCCTCGTCTGTTGACCACAAAGGACATGGAACGCATGCGCGAGCGGAGCTACGTGTTGGATTGGAAGCGACTTGGCTTCGATGCAGAGTCCCAGCGTGGATTCCGGATCAGCAATGCCAATGCCAGCTATGCCACCTGTCGCTCCTACCCAGCCATCATTGTTTCGCCTGTGCAGTGCAGCGATGCAGCCATTATACACCTGGGGCGCTACTTTAAGGGCCAGCGCATACCGCTGCCCACCTGGAGGCACGACAACGGAGCTCTTCTCATCCGTGGTGCCCAGCCCAACAGCAAGTCAGTCATCGGAATGCTCAAGAACACCACAGGGGGGAATGCCAATATCCATCACGATGTAACACACTTCCCCGAGCAGGACAAGTATTTTTTGGCTCTAATCAATACGATGCCGAAGCTGGCGCCCCTGAATTTGACCCAGTACACGGGCATGAATCTGTCAATGAGCTCGCTGCTTGGACACGGTCACGGCTCTGCCGATGATCGCCCATCGCTCACTCCGGAACTGCCGCGCAAGCACAAAAACAACCTCGATGTTAGCAATGGCAGCAAGTCAAGTGGGACAATGAAGGGAAATTCGGCCAATACATCCGCAAATGCCTTCCGCAAGATGCGTCTGTATGCTCTGGGTGAGTAAGATCATTATTAGCCTTAGAGGAAGGCTTACACACAAATGTGACACACTTTTCTTTGTTCTTTGTTTCGTAGGTGAAAAATCACAAGCAAAATCGAATCTGAACGTGGAATACTGTGCAGACTTTATTCCCGTGGACTATCCAGACATTAGGCAATCGAGGCCGGCATTTAAAAAACTTATACGGGCCTGCATGCCCTCGCATAATGCTAGCGATGCCGATGGCCAGAGCTTTGCCAAAATGGTGGAGCAGTCCGATTGGCTCCAGCAAATCTCCTCGCTAATGCAATTGTCTGGCGCTGTTGTGGATCTCATCGACCTGCAAGAGAGCAGTGTTATGCTGTCTCTGGAGGATGGCTCCGATGTGACCGCTCAGCTGTCATCGATAGCACAGCTCTGCCTGGATCCATACTACCGCACTCTTGATGGATTTCGCGTGCTGGTGGAGAAGGAGTGGCTGGCCTTTGGTCATCGGTTTGCGCATCGCAGCAATCTGAAACCCTCGCACGCGAACACAAACATTGCCTTTGCTCCGACATTTCTACAATTTCTTGACGTAGTTCATCAGCTGCAGCGACAGTTTCCCATGGCATTTGAGTTCAATGATTTCTATCTGAGATTCTTGGCGTATCATGTGGTGTCGTGTCGGTTTCGAACGTTTCTCTTCGACTGCGAATTGGAGCGATCGGACTCAGGAATAGCCGCCATGGAGGACAAGCGGGGATCTCTTAATGCAAAGAACATATTTGGCGTGAGTGGCATCGCGTCGAATGGCTCAGATGACGAGTGCAATGTGTATCCTCTCGACTTACGAAGCCCACGCACTCCCACACAGCTGAATCGCATTGGCCATTCCATCTTTGACTACATAGAGAGGCAGCACAACAAGACGCCCATTTTCTACAACTTTCTCTATTCGCCCGACAAGGAGATGACGCTGCGTCCGCAAAACAATGTGGCTGCCCTAGACCTTTGGAGCTACTACACCAATGAGGAACTGGCGCAGGGACCACCATACGATCTGGAAGTCACCACCGTGGATGATGAAATAGATCTGTCCGAAATGAGGGGCAAGCGTATGGTTATTACTGCCGGCTACGACAACATGGAAAAGTGCAATCCCAACGCCTATGTCTGCCTGCTCAGCGAGGTCAAGCACGCGGAGACGGAACGTGGACACTTGCCACAAAAGTGGTTACAGGTCTGGAACAATCTGGTTGTTCCGAAAATAGAGCCGATACCCCATAACGCGTCGCTCGGCAGTATTTTTGTCCAGACGCATCAGCATAAACGGTCCACACTGGAAATCATAATGAAAGGCCGACTGGCGGGATATCAAGATAAATACTTTCATCCGCATCGCTTTGAGAAGCATCCCTATACGACGCCCACAAACTGCAATCACTGCACAAAGCTGCTTTGGGGTCCGGTTGGATATCGTTGCATGGATTGTGGTAATTCGTATCATGAAAAATGCACGGAGCTATCGATGAAGAATTGCACAAAGTACAAGGCCATAGACGGGGCTGTCGGTGCGCCGAATGTAAATATGTCTCAGGGAGACACGGCCAGTATTGCCTCAAGTGCTGCCACCACAGCTAGGACATCCAGTCATCACTTTTACAATCAATTTAGTAGTAACGTTGCTGAAAATCGCACTCACGAGGGGTTAGTATTATGAATTCAACTTATCTCCTTTCGTTCTTAATCCTTTAATTCGATATCCCTTTAGTCATCTCTACAAACGTGGTGCATTGCTCAAGGGATGGAAGCAGCGCTGGTTCGTCCTTGACTCGATTAAACATCAACTGCGCTACTATGACACGTCAGAGGATACTGCTCCCAAGGGAATTATTGGTAAAAGAGGAACAAAATGTAATATTTATTTTATTCATATAAACGATTGGATGTATTGCATTGCAGAATTGGCGGAGGTGCAGTCGGTAACTGCGGCACAACCAACACAAATTGGCGCAAAGGGCGTGGACGAAAAAGGATTCTTTGATGTAACTTACGTAATATTTACAATTCGTACCTCCATTCACATTCCATTTTCAGTTGAAAACATCAAAACGCACCTACAATTTCTATGCCGTCAATGCGAATCTGGCCCAAGAATGGATAGAAAAGCTGCAGGCATGCCTGCAATAAAAAAAGAAGAAGCAATTCCGATGCGGATGTCTAACTGGATTGCCGTTTTGTTGTGTGCTGAATCTTTCGTTTTGTTATAGGATATCCGGGTAATCCAGTTCATGCTCATGTTCTTTGGCTCTGTGTATCATATCATTAAGAAGCAAATTCAGCATACCTTAGCATTGTCTTTGTTCATATTCATTACACACAAGTGTTTGGCCAAGCAACAAGATCTATAGCCTTTGCGAAATGTGAATACGTGAAGGAACCTACAAAGTTATGTGATTATACAAAAAATATGATGCTATCTAACGATAAAAACGGAAAAACGCCAACCCAGCAACAATTTTTATATACATTTTTGATATATACATATATATAGCTATAGCTATATGCATAAATATAAATCTACATACAAATATAGGGATATAGAAAAATTACCAAAGAATATTCCACCTTCGTTGCGCAATTAAAATGAATTGAGATTTCTTAATTGCTTCCATTAAATTAAACATAAAATAAACCTTTGTATGATTAAACGCTTTGCTTTATTTATTACCATATAGTAAATCAATATATAATACATATTTTTAATGCAATTATGTGTGGCCTAAAAACGATACGATACGATATATATATATACATTTAGAAACAAATGCGCTTGGTATGGTATTTATTTCGTATCTCTTCTATCATCCATTCATCATCCATCATAGGAACGTTGTCCAGTAGACAATGTTGAGTATAAAGAACGAAAATGGGAAGAAAAAGCGCGAGAATTTATCTATATAAATAGCTGTGGCATGGCCATGGCAGAATGTGTCATATTGAGGCTCAATTATCGATTCACGATGGTGATGCTGTAACTTCGAAACTTTCTTTAAAAGTCACACATTCATCACAATGTATTACAAAAACTCACCTTTAGATCATCCATATCAGTGATATTCTCATCCGAGTATCCTTTCATGGCCTTGGTGGCCACGGGGCCCATGTAATTGTTCACTACAGCAAACTCCATCAATGAGAGAAACACAAAGACTGAGCAGGATGACATCCATACATCTATCGCCTTGACATACGACACGGGCGGCAGCGACTGTTGGGATTGTGTGTTCTGTGTGGCCAATGTGAGCAAGGAGGTTACACCGAGGGTGACTCGGGCCGGTATGGCTTCCGGTTTAATCCAAAAGGATATCCATGACATGACCACAATAAGGGCAGAGGGTATATATGTATGAAATAAATGGTAGCCCAATCGTCGTCTCAAATTGAACACAATGGCTAGGCAGGTGAAGTTGCCTAAGAAGAAGGTATGTATGTATGGGCACTAATCATTAAATGAAAACCCTTCTGCTTACCGGTTGAATACTCTATGGTGCAATCCGTCGTGTAGTTGTTGGAAATGTCCAATTGAGGCAGCTCTATCTCTGCATTGACCACAAGTGGATCGGTCATATTCCAAATAAAGACCAAGTCCTCCACTGTATGGGATACTGTCATTGAAAACTTAATTAAAATGATCAAAGACAATTTGTACGAGTACATCATACATATTCGAAAAAGAGGCAAGAGTAAAGTTTAGAGCATAAATAGCAACAAAAGAATAATTCTTATTCACTATTAAACATATTTCCACCTACAACTCTCAATCATCATGGAACAGATTTGTGTGTCATGCGGATAGGACTCGAATTTCATGGCGCAGGACAGAACCAACGTTAGCTTCGACATGTACAGCAACGTTTTGTCATGATATAACCAAAGATAGTGATTCGGTATGCTCATTTCATGGAAAGTAACCTTTTTGGCATTCTTAAAGAAGCAATCGGGCCGCCAAATACTGTGCAGCCAATCCACATCCAGTATACGATACTGTTCGCTCATGTTCTCGGGCAGCCGTAGTCGAGGATCGCGCCAGCTTTGTGCAAGAAATATGTCCGTCACGTAGGTCTACAGAAATCAGAGATCTCAGAATCAGATCATCAAAAATAACTGGCAAGTATAGAAAGGAAAGGTGTTTAACATACCATTGATTCCTCATTAATTGAATCCAGGGAGAGTACGGTAACGTGGAAGTAAACGACAGTTGGCTGGCCCAAAAGTTTGGGGGCACGGTTCTTATCGTATGTTTTCGACGGTATAGGCAATATGTCGGGCAGCGATAAACTCGATTCGTAATGGGAAACCAGCTCTGCGCTCTCCGTATTGTTTCTATAAGGCGAATAAAATTTAATGGAGACAGACAAGCTTGTAGAACTTTTAATGAAAATGCCACCCATTTCATTCCATTACATTGGGTATTTACCTGAATCCATGAACACAATTGCACAGCAAAATCGATTTCTCGACTATATGCAAAATGATTGCTACTGCCATAAGGCATTTGTATTTTCCCAGTTGATTAATAATTTGTTGCATTATGAACACAAAACTTAACTTTGAATTTTAATTGTGATACGAGAACGAGTATATAGTGTTTCACGACACATTGCTCTGCAGTCCATGTCATTTTTCGAATTTTCCGAATTTATGAAATTTAACTTGGTCGCATTATGCAATAAATTCTGTGAATTTCTTCGGTTTGGTTCTTTTGTTTAGCAAAACCAAGTTATTTACACGATTTTGAGGCACTGCAAAGTGTGATAAATTAATTTCTAAGGTTTCATTCGTTTTCATTGGCATTCCTCACACACAACTTTTCAAATTGACCACTGACCCCGGTCTGCGAAAGCAGGCAGAACAATTATGCGTAAAGGGTGTGACAGACATACGACAGGGGACTTCATTTAAATATGCAAAATAGTATTAACAGATATTATTAACAGTTTAAGCTCTACGTAATTGCGCAATTTGAAAGACTTGCAGCAAATCAAATGAGCCGCCAACTATCGTTGCCACCTTGATTTATCGGCTGTCGACACACAAAAACCATCGATATTTTCCTCAGAGCCATCGATGGTTGCGCCAACAGCTGTTTCATCAATTGCAGCTAGATGCAGGGTAACAATTAATTGTATATTACACAGAATTCGGGATATTTTAATTATATATATATTATTTCATTTTAAATTTTAAAATATATTCAATAACATAGAGCATCCAAACTCCCATACTATTTCTCTCTAGCAAAAAGAGAATTTTAATCTCAGCAATGAGTCTTTAATCCAACGTCACTCATGAAGAAACTATAGTTTCTATATTGACGTCACTTAAGTATTTTACCGTTGGCAACAAAATTTGTATGGGCCAGCAGCATGCTGCTAAAAGTTAGCAGCACTGTTCCCCAACATTGGTTCGAAATAAGCAAAATTTAGTACACCTCGATGTATATCCTGGAATTGAGAAAATTGTTGATATCTCAGGATCCAATCATTGCAATAACAAGTCGATCTGTTAGGGGTCCATCTTAACGAATTATTATATATATTTTTTTAAATTTAATCGCTACAGCAAATATGGTTGGTGACCAGGTACTTCATGTTGAAATTTAGAATACTGAAAATTTTGAACTCAAAAAAGAGTTGCTTGCCGAACGAACACTGTTGTGTTTTATTCCTTAAACCACCAAGTTTGGCTTTGCAATGACTTCCTGCAAACAAGCTTGACTGGTTATGTATAGATCGATCATAAAAAAAAAGATCGGTGTTTATCACAGCTTTTTTAACCCCGGTACTCGAAGAGTAAATAGGGTATATTGTATTTGTGTGAATAACGGTTGTATGGAACGCACAGAAGGAAACTTTTCCGACCCCATAAAGTATATATATTCTTGATCAGCATCAATAGCCGAGTCGATTGAGCCATGTCTGTCTGTCCTTCTGTCCGTCTTGTTTGTCGGCTAGTTCTCAGAGACTATAAGAGCTAGAGCCACCAAATGTTGCATCCAGACTGCTATATGCTCACAATGAAACCAGTGTATTTAAAAAATGAGCCACGCCTCCTCCCGCCCCCGCAAAAGAACGAAAACCTCCACAAACCTACAATTTTGAAGATAAAAGAAAACTAAAAACGCCATTCCGTAGGGAATGACCATATCTATCAGATCACTAGTGATCTATCACTGTGATCTATCAGATCACCAGTGGGATCCGATTGGATCACATTTACCCTTCCCACTAAAAAAATATAGGGTATCTCTATGCAAGTGCAGGTTTGCAGCTGTTTTTTTTTTGTCTCCACATTTTCGGTCTCGCTTCCCATGCCTTCATCCTTTTCTATTTTCACCTCTCAGATGTGCATTTATTGTGCTCTTAATTACATTTTGCTTCTCTTTATTCTTTTGATATAATCTTTACATTTACTTTATTTTAAGCAACATTATTTATTTATTTATTTATTTCAATTAACAATTATCTGCCAATTATGAAATAGGAATAAAAACAAACTAATTATATATGTACAAAATTGAAAGGAAAGATACAATTTACACATTTTCTAAACTAAGGTAATGATAAATGTTAAATATAATTGTTTCAAGGGATAATTCGGGGGATATTAAAGGGTACAAGTAATTATAATTATTGCATAAAACCCGGAAAGGTTCATGCTGGGAGTAATTGTATCTACATGTGAATAATCTGATGGGGCGGAAAGTACGGGTTGGTTGGGAGGGAGCCGACAAATCGACTCGTCCCAAAAGCGTTTTGGAGTCCACAATCCCGAGAATGAGCTTATGCATGAATACCACCCCATTGGAAATTCTGCGATGGTGTAAAGAGAGTAGGTTAAGTAGTTTAGCCTAGATAGGTATGGTGGAAGGAGTCTGTTATAGTCCCAGTTTAGATTTCTAAGGGCGAATATTAAAAATTGTTTTTGAACGGATTCAATAATAATTTGTTGCTCCTTGAATCGTGGACTCCACACACAAGAACAATACTCCAATATCGGGCGAAGCAACGAGACGTACAGTGTTTTAGTTATATACGGATCATCAAACTCTTTTGACCAACGCTTAATAAACGCAAGAACTCCCTTAGCTTTGTTAACAGTTGAAGCAATATGGCTATTAAAACATAGCTTGTGATCGAAAAGGACTCCTAAGTCATTTGATGTGGAGATTCGATCCAGAACATGGTGTCCTAGAGAATAGAAGACAAAATGTGGTGCACGGCTGTGAAAAGTCATAAGTTTTCACTTGGAATGGTTCAAAAAAAGTAGGTTATTCGAACACCAAATGCTTAATTCATCACGGTCAAGTTGTAGGCGAGTATGTAAGTACCAGTCGGAAAAGGAAAAACAAATTTTAACGTCATCAGCATACATTAAGGAAACTGAGTGCAAAATAACTTGGGGCAGGTCGTTCACAAAAAGCTGAAAAGAAGCGGACCTAAATGACTTTCTGAGAAACTCCAGAGGTTACTTTCACAACATTCGACAAGACATTGTTAAACAAAACACGCTGTATGCGATTCGACAGGTACGATGATATCCAATTTACAATATTTGTGGGAAAACCTAATAAAGAGAGTTTATGGATCAGCAAAGTATGATTAACAGAATAAAAAGCTTTACTGAAATCTGTTAAAATGACGTCAGTCTGCAAGCAACATTGAAATCCTCGGTTGATTAGAGACAAGAATTCTAAAAGGTTAGTAGATGTTGATCGTTGTCTGAAAAACCATGTTGTGACGGGTATATAATGCTAGAACATGCGTGTTGCAATTGACGAGTAACAAGGTGCTCGAGCAACTTCAGAATGACAGATAGTTTAGCAATACCACGATAGTTTTCGATATTAGATCTGGAACCTTTCTTGTGAAGAGGAATAAGGTAGGATTCATTCCAGATCATGGGGAGGCGAGAACGCTCCAGGGATAAATTAAATAAGAAGGTCAAAGGATGAGATAGGGCTTGAGCGCAATATTTCAAAATACAGCTCGGAACTTTATCTGGACCCGCAGAGAAACAGATGTCAATTGATGACAACCCTTCGAAGACCGTACTTTCTTCAAGGAAGGGAAGAAGCACGTAATTAACATGACGTAGATGGTATGGATAAGGGGTGGAGGAGTCATAACTATCCGAGGAGTACGTCGATTAAAAGAAGGTGGCAAATAAATTTGCAATTCCTTGATCTGAAGCTTCTGTGTTAGACTGTAACTGAGGGAAGAAGGGAAGGCGTTAGACTTGCGTTTTGAGTTGACGAACGAAAATAATTTTTTGGGATTACTACGGAAATTTGTGCCACATTGGGAAAGATATACGTTATAACATTTCTTACTGTCAATAAGAAATTGTTGAAATGTTGAGAACGAACCGAAGAATATTGTGCAAAGACAGGAACCAGTTATCTGGTAGCCGAGATTTTTTATACTCGGTACTCGAAGAGTACCTCGATTGAGCCATGTCTGTCTGTCCGTCCGTCTTGTTGAGCGTCTGGATCTCAGAGACCATTAAATCTAGAGCCACCAAATTTTGCATTCGGATTTCTGCATGCTTACACTGTAACAAGTGTATTTCAAAAATGAGCCACGCCCCTTCCGCCCCCGCATAAGGGCGAAAACCTCCCAAATCTACAATTTTGAAGATAAAAGAAAACTAGAACGACATTCCGTAGGGAATGGCCATATCTATCAGATCACCAAAGTGGGTGTCCGATTGGATCATTATTATAGCCAAAATGAAGCAATTAATTTCCAGTGGCTAAACCCACCCTGGCCAGCAGCTTTTGTTGTTCTTTTCACATTCTCTCATTCACACTCTGCTTATGTTTCACTCGTCCTCTGCCTCTGCTTTTGCCGTCCCTCTGCCTCTGCCGACTTTTAACCCACCCCGTCCCGCAGCATATATTTATTTTTTTTTTGTGTGCGAGCTCTGCCTCTGCCTCTGCCGCGAGTCTGCAGTGTGTGGGTCTAGGGAAGGGCGACGAGCTAACGGAGCGTGTTGGTGTGAGAAGTGTTGTAGATGTATGTAGATGACAGATGAAGAAAATATTTAAAATTTGACAAAACACCGCTAAGGTGCAGATGAAGTACTGAGTGCCGGGTATAAAAGTTGTGACGCGTAAGAAGCGCCTCACTCGTCCCTTCTCGTTATTTTTTAGGTAAGACAGATACTTGGAAAACCACGGAGGCTTTGAGGAAACAAATACGGTGACTTCAGGGACGTAGCTATCGAGGGCAGAGTATAATGTTTCGTAAGACATATTGACAGTAGGCTCTATATGTGATGAGGACTGAAGAAAGGACCAATCAACTTGCGAGAGATGTAGACAAAGATCGATAAAATTAGTTTAGCAAAAACACTTTATACGACTTTTTGAAGGTAAAATGGTGTTCGTAATAGAGGCCTCGAAAAGTATAGATAAAGTAGGATGATGCGGATCTTCGGGAAAAGATATCGGATTGCCTCTTAAAACCGTTGTACGAGAGACATCGCTGACAAAGATAAGATCTAACAGTCTAGTCTCTATTATTTCTGACAGAGTTAATTTGGGCAAGCGAGACGTCAGTTACCCCCTCGACGAAATCATGTTGACTTCCAGGTAGCAACATGTTTGAATCATCCTGTTGCCAAGATAGAGATGGGATGTTGAAGTCACCCATGACTAGTTTTTGATCAGCACAGCCTAAAGCAGAAACTACGGATCGAATTGCAGAAAGGTGGTTCAAATAAACAACTTCATCAGATCTGGGTGGGATATAAGAACAGGTCAAAAAGATATATGCTGTTCCAATACGGAACAGATGTTCTACTGTCTCCTCCTCGTCCTCGTCTCCACAGCTACGACAG